TTTTTTAAAATTAAACACTATCTAAAGATTTGCATCGAAGCGTTTTTTTTTGATAGTGATTTTAATCACTGTCAGATATCATTATACTTGATCCAACTATGCCACGTCACCACTGTGCCGCGACCCCCCTGTGCTGGGTTTTTTTTTAAATAAATTTTTAATTGTTTATAAATTATAATTATTTTAAAAATTATTTATAACTTATTTGTTATTAGTATTTAGGTATAAATTATTTTTTCTTAATAGCTTAAAAGTTGACAAATCAAATCAGTTTATGTTCACATCATTATTTTATTTATTTTTCACAACATGAAAAATTCATCCCGATAGTAAAGATGTAAGTATTTTTTATTTTTTTTAATTATAGGTACTATCCATTTTTTATAATACTGTAATAATTAGTATACTTTATACGAAAACAATTTGTATTTAACCAACCAATGGTAAAATTTTGAACTTGTAAGATTCATATTATGGGGTACTATTTAAGGACGAGTGGAGGGAGCCCCCCCACAAGCTTTTCATGGGAAACAAATTATGGAAAATGATACAAGGGCCCAAAATTGTTGGCCCCTCCAATAAACATTTTCTGGCTACGTGCCTGCGCGTGGCGTTTGAAGAGTTACATACATACATACATTCATACATACATACATACAGGTGAAACTAATATAAGCGTGTTAAAAATCATATTAACTTTGATGTCTGCTTTCATCGTGAAGACAAAATAAAGTCCAAACTTTTTTTTCCATAATAAAGTACGTTACATTAGCTATAATTTAAGATATATATAAAAGTGTCAGACTTTCTGGAACAATTTCAAAAGTTAAGTTGAAAAAGTTCTACTTTCTATATGCATTTTTCAGATTTGAACCTCCCCTAGTATAAAGGGAAATAGTCTGATTTAAAAAAAAGAATATGTCGAATGAAAGATGTATATACTACTTCCCTAACATTTTTAAAATGTTATAGCATTTTAAAGTAAAAAATGTAAAATATAAAATCGAGAAATTTTACATAAAATAGTATTTGGTAGCTATTTTCAGCGTGAAGACAAAATAAAGTCCGAATTTTTTTTTTTTTTGCATAATAAAGTATATTACATAAGCTTTAATTTAAGGTATATATAAAAGCGTCACGTTCGAACCGGTCATACACAAGCGCCACAGGAGGCGCATGACGGTTATCAAATATTGCCACACTCCACTCAATAACATTTCTCGTTAATTCATATGACGTGAATCCCAATTAAGATAATTACAAGTTATGAGGTAATTTAAATTTATAACTTAATAGCTTAAAGAATTTGATTTGAACCTTCTGAATTAAATGCTTGTATGAAAATAACTTAGTTACCATATCTTTTTTCAGAAAAAATCATTTTAAAATCCTTAGAGTAATCCTTACGTCACTAATAGAAGTAACCCTTTTTATGATACAATAATCAATTTTATAATTGAAGGTAATCGCATTATTTGAAATATTAATGGTTATAACATTTCATTTATTTATATTAAGTGGTAAACAATTAAGTCGACTCCAGGAAACAAATCTATCTAAATTTTAGGTGTCAGCCGGAGATTTAATAATTGAAAATAGTATAGCGTCATCAGCAAACAAATGAATATCCACCGAAATATTAAAGATAGAAGAGGATCATTTATAAATAATATAAATAAAAGATGTCCAAGGTACAAACTGTAGGCGGTTAATTGCCAGATTTCTAAAAAAAAAAATATATACAAAAAAGTTTAAACCAGTTTAAAAAATTTGCTAATCAGTGATATTTAATTGTAATCGATTTTTCTACAAAAACCAACAGTATTCCTAATTGACATAATTTAAATTATACAGGGTGATTTTTTTATCATAACCCACTCAATTACTTACAGAATAATAATAATTTAAAAAAAAAATTTTTATTACTATCTTTAGTTATACATTATTCTTGAATTATCAACTATGTAATACTTTTTAAATTCATCCCTTATGCCTGGTAAGGGCGTCAACTTTGTTTTTTTAAATGGGGTGTTCCCATTTTTGAATTTAATAAAATGTTTGGATTTTTAATTAAATAGTAAATGGCGATTGAATTTTTAGTATAAATTTATTAGTTTATTAGATATAAACATTTAAAGTTTCAAATTTTTGAGTTAATATATATGTATAATACACAAGGTATTACAAATACAGGTAGCTAATTGAGTTTTTATGACATCGATATTAGCAGGTACACAGANTTTTATGACATCAATATTAGCAGGTACACAGCATTGTTATTATCAATGATAGTAAGGTACATTGTTGTGAGTTTATAAATACACTAACTGACAATACAAAAAGTATATCTAATGATAGTCATAATTGATAATAAACAATCCGTGACCGTGATAGCAATATCATAAAAAACCAATTACCTACCTGTATTTGTAATCCCTTGTGTATTATACCTATATATTAACTCAAACATTTGAAACTTTAAATGTTTATATCTAATAAACAAATTAAGTTTCATTAAAAATTCAATCGCCATTTACTATTTAATTAAAAATCCAAACATTTTATTAAATTCAAAATATGTGTTCCCATTTAAAAAAACAAAGTTGACACCCTTATAAGGCATAAGGGATGAACTTAAAAAGTATTACATAGTTAAAAATTCAAGAATAATGTGTAACTAAAGATAATGAAAAAAAAAAATGTTTAAATTATTATTATTCTGCAAGTAATTGAGTGGGTTCTGATCAAAAATCTGTATATATAATAAAATTTGATCACTTGTGGCTAATATTATTTAAAATTAAAACTATATTAAAAAAAAAACACATCATTGTAAAATTAATACCTTCTCAGCTTCGCATCGAAGCTAATAGTATTAATTTAAAACTAAAAAAATATTAAAAATATACTCAAAGGAAGGAAAAACCTGTGTTAATATTAAAAAAAAATATTTTGATTCATTTATATTTTAATTTTAATATTTTTATAATAGTAATTATAATAGTTTAAAAAAAAAAGTTTAAACAATGTCAAATTTTATGGATTTCATATTATTTATATTATTTACCCTATATTATTTAGGAATTTTCCCCATTTACAGGATATGAGCGAAATTTCTTCAATTATTAAGAGCAATATTTTCAACTAGATACAATTTGTGATTTTTTGACGTATCGTTGAAAGGAATCGGTTGGGTGAGAATTGAGAAAAAGTAGCAGTACACAAAAAAAAAAAAAAAAAAACGCAACATAGTAAAATCAATACCTTCTCAGCTTCGCATCGAAGCTAAAATTTTTTTATTTTCTACAACTAATAATAAAAAATAAGATTTACAATAAATAAACTATTAAAAAAATGAAATGTTAATTATATAAAAATTATAATAGTGATAATTTTTATCTGTTCTACTCTGGTTATAAATTCAGATATTTTCTTTAAAAATATGTTTTTGTTGTTTTTATTTTTATATTATCTAAATTTATATTTTACGTTAATTTAGATAAATAATAAAAATATATTTTAATAATAATATTTTAATTATAAAATAGATCAACAGCCGGCTCCTACTTCTGTTTTTAACTCATTTTCAATTTCAGTCTACTCTTCTCATTTCATTTTAAAAACTGCTTTTGCCATAAAAAATGAATATGATGAAATTAACGTTAAATAATTATTTTGTATACCTAAGTAAATTAGATAGATTATGGCAAAAGAAAACTGAGTTATCTTGTTATGCTGTCTTTTTAGTTTTAATAATTTTTTGGTGTCGCATCAAATGGAATCGTAGATTTATTGATAGATTTGCAGCAAAATTACCAGGTCCTCAATCATATCCATTAATTGGTTCAGGACTAGAATTTACAGGGACATTACAACGTAAGTTTTACATAAAATATTATTAATTTTTGGCTTCCGTTATATTGCCATCAATAACACAACATGTTACAAGCACACTAGAGTGAAATTTGTTTAGATTTCTAAACCTACTCCTTAAAAAAATTTAATATAAATTATAAAAATAATTGACTTTGGAAAAAATTTACTTTTGAAATAGATAAATTGTCCAACATATTTAAGTATCTTTAATAACTTTTAATATAGCTTGTAAATAAATACATTACAGTTTTAGTCACGATAAAAGGATATGAGTGTCAACTTTATTTTATTAAATGGCAACATAATTATTTTACTCGCTTTTAAATAAATAATAATCGAATTAAGAAAATGACTATTGGTCAATGTCATTTAAAATTGTATTTGGGAAGTTGTTAAGATAACCGACACTTAATTTAAAAAAGCAATAACTATTTAAAATATAAAATTTAAATAAATAGTAAAAGTAAAGTGTGCTATTTTATCATTTTCTACATTTTGCAATCTACTTTTGAAATAATCCACCAATTTCTTAAAATTAAACATTATCTACGGATTTGCATCGAAGCAATTCTTATGATAGTGATTTAATCACTTTTATGTATCTTATGTACTTGTCCCAACTATGCCACGTCCATAGTGTGCAGCGACCCCACTATACTATCGTTTTTATTTTATATGCTACTTAAATATGTATGTTGCTATTAAAAAAGCAAATTTCTATTATTAAAAGAATCGCTATGATTCCCTAAAGACTCTATATTGTAAATAAATATGGTGTTCCGTGTCATTTTAAAATGCAAGAAAAAATAAAATAAACAATTTTTTCATGATTTCAATATATCTATTTTATAGTACTTTTTTAGTTTCAATGCGAAGCTATGAAGGTATTAACTTTACTAGGATGAATTTTTTATTTTTTTGTATCTGTGAATGCTCAATGTCAGCTCTCACTGTACCGATTTTGATGAACAATACGTCAAAAGATCACAAATCGAAGACATTAGCCTTAAAATTTGAAAAAAATTCTCTCGTATCCCAAAAAATTACAAATTTAAAAATCCCTAATATTCGACATTTTTCAAATTTTTTTACTAAAAATGACCGAATCAATAAAACTTTTTTTTTCTATATACCTTAGGTATTTATCTATCATTTGTTATATTGTTATGAACATTTGACCCTTTGCCAGCCCACAGGAAGGCTTTCAAAATGGTAACTTTTTCACAAAAAATTAACTTTTGAAAATGATCCAGAAACACTGACACTTTTATATATACCTTAATCTAAAGCTTATGTAATATACTTAATTATGAAAAAAAAATTTGACCTCTAGATTTGTCTTCATGGGTAAAATGACTACCGTATATAAAAATTTTATATTTTTGTGATAAAAATCTGAGCTTTGTATTTTATTTTATTTTAAAATACCTGTCATGGGGAGTACACTAATTTTCATAAATATTATATAAATCAAATTGAGATAACATAGAAAGTTAAACTTATATAATTTTTATTGCTTTTTTTAAGTCAAGAAAAATAACTTTGAAATTCAAAATAATTTTAATTGATAAAAAAAATAGTTTTTTTCAGATGACCGAAGCGACGTACGGTTGTGAGTCGGTAACACTTGTGTCTTACGCGCATGGGTACAAGGTGCCAACCCGTATATGACAACCAATTTTTTCTTAATTCTTTTTAAGTTAGAATAAATTTTCAACTCATTTTATTTTTATCAAATTTCAAGAAGAAATTTCTTATTCATATTAAAATTATTTTATTATATTTTAGGTTTTAGCTTCGATGCAAAGTTGAGAGGGTATTTTTTTGTGATCATTTATTTTCTCTGCTCTAACTTGACCTACTTTTTTCAATGATACGTCCAATGACTAAAATTAGTATCTAGTTGAAGATATTACGCTTAAAAATTGAAACAAAATTCTAATTTATCAATCAAACAATTATTTATCCCATTCATGTTCTCCATTCAGACAATTGAAATCATTCATTTATAATGTATTCAAAGTATTTATTGACAAATAAAGTTTGATATGATAGGTTTAAATTACAAAATTAAATCAATTTACTTAGTAAACTAATATTTTTTTTACTCTATTTGTGTGTGTCATTACTAGACTATAATATTCCAAATATTTTGGTAACATGTTGCTGTATAAATCATTTTTTAGCTTCGATGCGAAGCTGAGAAGGTATTGGTTTTACTATGATGTGTTTTTTTTTTGTGTCTGTTACCACTTTTTCTCAGCTCTCACTGAACGGATTTCTTTCAACGATACGTCAAAAGATCACAAATTGTATCTAGTCGAAGATATTACCCTCAAAAATTGAAAAAAATGCCCTCGTTTCCCATAAATGAGGGAAACCTCCAAAAAAATTACAAATTTAAAAATCGCTAATTTTCGAAATTTTTTCAATTTTCTTTACTCAAAACTGCCGTAACTTTTTCAAAAATAAACATATCAATATAATTCTTTGTTATATAGATGTTTCATGTCTTTACCTATTATTTGGTATATTTTTTTTGTAAATTTGACTTTTTTTCTGCCCACAGGGGGGGATTTAAAATGACAACTTTTTCACAAAAAATTAACTTTTTCAACTTAACTTTTGAAAATGTTCCGGAAGGTCTGACACTTTTATATATATCTTAAATTAAAGCTAATGTAATATACTTTAATTTGAAAAAAAAAAATTTGACCTCTGGACTTGTCTTCACGGCGAAAATGGCTACCGAATGCTATTTTCGTGTGAAAATTATCGATTTTATTATTTATATAATATTTAACTTTATAATGCTATAACTTATTGAAAAGTTTATGGATCCACACAATTTTTTTATGAGAAATAATATTTTTTAATAAACCCTTTTTCATTTGACATACTTTATCTTTATCGAGATATTAATAAGGAACCAGCAGATCAAGTAGCTTTTGGAATAAAACACCAATTTTTTTTAAATTAAGCACTATCTAAAGATTTGCATCGAAGCGTTTATTTTTGATAGTGATTTTAATCACTGTCAGATATCATTATACTTGATCTAACTATACCACGTCACAACTGTGCCACGACCCCCCTGTGCTGGTTTTTTTTTAAAAATTATTTTTAGTTTCCTTAAATTTAACATTGGATTTTCACAATTATAATCACATTTTATAATACACTCAATTGAGTAGATTGTTTAACAGCTTTTAAGAACCAAAAAAAAAAAAAAAATTAGGTTAAAAATAAAATTTTGCACTTATTATTTTTAGCATATTCCTTTCAAGGAAAATAATTTAAAATAATTTGAAAGAAACATTAATACTGCCGTACATACAGGGAATTACCGACCGCATATCAAGGATTGCACAAAAATTCAAATTAAGAACCGTTTTCCAACCAAAAACAGGATCACTACTCCGAAACCAGGAAAGATAAACTGCCAGATATGCAAACACCAGGAGTTTATGAAATACCATGTTCATGTGATAAATCTTACATCGGACAAACAAGAAGAGCTATTGCGACAAGAATAAAAGAACATGAAAAAGACGTGGAGTACCATAGAACAGAAAAATCTGCAGTAGCTGAACATGCCAAAAACAGAGGACATGACATACAACAATTCGATAAAGTAAAAAATACTAAACAAAGAAACTCATTTTGGCAAACGGATGTACAAGGAAGCAATAGAAATCGAAAAATGTCCTGGAATTTTCAACAGAGTAGATGGGTTGAAAATCAGCAAAACTTAGTTACTTATCATACACTAGACAAAAAAAAAATTAACCAACAACACTGAAAATAACTCAATATAAGAAGAGGCTACAATCAACATAACAAATAATTGCCGGTGTAGGAAAGGAAGACCGAAATGTCAAGAATGTCGTAAACAACGTTAATCAAAAATCGAAATGTTGTCAACAACATTAGTCAAAAACCCGGATACGGTAAACTACATTAGTCAAAAACCAGATGTTATCAATTTTATAAAAGCAGACTGTTATCAAGATAAGCCGCTAGTATAGTTGCAGCCACCGACTAGCAAACATCACTCTAAAGATGGACTCTGCAATGAGTCTGAAACGTCAGAAACCAACTAAAAACATGGATATATTTTCAAACACTTCAATTTAAAAATACTTATATAGTGTAGAACTTTCTCAACTTAATTTTTGAAAGTTTTCCGGAATGATTGACACTTTTATATATATTTTGAATTGGTGCATTCGAAGAGCACATAACAGTACGAGGTGTACCCACATTATAGCTTCAGGATACTCCCCAATATAATAATTAACACAAATATTCCGTACATTTAAATAAGTAGTGTCATACTTCTTTTTTTAGAAATAATGGACAAAATTATTCAATTAACTGAAAAGTTTGGTTCAGAACCATTTAAAGTCTGGTTAGGATCAACATTAGCTGTAATGTTAACAAAGCCTGAAGATCTAGAAGTATGTATTACTATATTAATTGGAGTAAAAAATTATTTATTTTAAAATTAAAAATTTACTATGAAAAAATTAAAAAGGAAAAGAATATATTAATATACCCACCTAAAAAGTACAACAAATGAAAAACACCTAATATGGAATTTAAATTGTGTAAAACTATTCTCGGGAATAGTGAAAAACACAGATTTTTACCAATTAATAACAGTACCATAAGAAATCTCAAGATATCATTTATTTATTTATTTCAGATATTATTTATGAAGACAAAATATTCTAACTATTAGAATAAAACCATGATTATTTATTTATTATTTTGCAACTAAAATAATGAATTTTATAATTATAACATATATAATAATTATATTAAATCGTAATATATTACATATAGAATAATATATAAAACAATTACAAAAATGTGGTTTGAAAAGAACAAAAAACTTTTATTAAATAATTTGATTTTGAGCGGATTTTTACTGATTTCTAATGCTAAATTTTACATGTTAAGTTTATTCTCAAACTTCAAATTTGTATGGTGTATAAAGCAGATATATATCTAAAAAATTTAAAAAAAAATTTTTTGAAATTAAAACAGAACCCCCAACAGAAGAAATAATGCCACCAAGAATACACGTTTTTTTTTTATAAAATTTCTAACTTTACATATATTAACATAAAACATAAATTATACACTATACAATACCACATGTAAAAATCACAGTAAAATAATAACTTCTTTATGGTTTTCAATGAACTCAAAAACGACAAATCTTTATAAATCAACTTAGTTTATTTAATACATTTGGTTCATAATTAGAACTATATACTATAATTTATATTATATAAACAAAGATATAGAATTCTGGTTCAAAAGAAAAAAAGAAAAACAGTAGCATAGTGTGGTCGCAGCACACTAAGGACGTGACATAATTGGGACAAGTTTAGATGATATCTGACAGTGATTATAATCATTATCGTAAGAAACGCTTCGATGCAAATCTGTAGATAATGTTTAATTTTGAGAAATTGGTGGATTATTCCAAAAGCAAAAATACCTCCTATTTTTGTTTTATTTCGACTGCCATTTGAACACAGAAAATAAGTTGACGGTACAAATTTATTTTTTTGAACTTCTAGTAAATTAATTATATATATGTTAAAATAAGCTTTATTTGAACATATGTATATAAAAGGCGTAGATTTAAGGAATATTTTCAAAATTAAGTTGAAATAGTTCTACTTTTTATACAAATTTTCAACTTTTCAAAAATTCAAAAAAACTTTTCTTATCCTTGAAGGGGCAAAATAATCAAAATAAGTATAAATTTATATTTAATGTAAGTTAGATTCATGTACATTTTATATTTATTGGTGGACTCATTACTATGACAAACCCTTATAAGGTATTTTAAAATAAACAAAAAAAAATAAAATTTGAAAAAAAGACCCGTGGAAGATAAGTCGTCGGGATATATATATATTTATTAATTTATATTATGCAGCAAAAGATTTAATTTGACATATGTTTTAAGTATTTCCGGGCATTTTTAAAACTTAAGTTAAAAAAGTTGAGTTTTGTAAAAAAGTTGCTTTTTTGAATCCCCCCTTGTGTGCAGGTTAATGGTCAGATTATCGTAAAATTTATATCAAATAAAAATGGAATACGTAAAGTCATTATATATATAAAAAAATTATTTTGGTTCGTCCATTTTGAAAAGAGTTATAGCAGTTTTAAGTACCAAAGTAACATTGATTTTTAACACGAAAATTACATTTTTTTTCAATTTTGAGGGTAACACATATTTATTGTAAAAGAACTTCTGTACACTAGGATCTTTTTAAGCGAGGATGGCAATCTGGAATTGTGAGTGAAGACAGATTTTTAATAAGAGGGTTCGAATGATTTTGGAGACGGTGTGAAAGTATAAAAGATATACTTTTATTAGTTTAGTTTATTAGTAAGATATTAACGGTATAAAAGATCCAGATTCTAGGTTAACGTATTAAATATTGCAGCTAAAAGAATATCAATTTAAAATATTTTATAAATCTGGTATAAGTAACACAAATGCAGATTCTGTAGTAAAATTCAATAAGTGATAACATGATAAGAATAATCGTCTACTTTAAGCAGAACGTCAACGTTTTTTGCGGTAGACAAAAATAACTGTGCATAAGGCTAATTAAATAATACTAAATTGCATATTTTTTAAATAACATTATAATGTACAACTATTAAAATTAAAATAATAATATTTAAACAAAAAATAATAGTATTATCATTACAGAAATGCTATTCGGGCATTATGGTAAAATAAAAAAAATTGATTAAATTTTTTTTTTGTAATTAAAATATCTAATTTTGTTTTTAATATTAAATAAAAACGTTTTTGAAATTGTTTACCGTCACAGAATAAATCACTTTAAAATATCGTAGTACCTTTTACGTTTCGAGATGAAGGTGTGAAAGTTTTAACATTAATATGATATGTCGTTTATTTTTTTGTGTTTATGACTATAAATTACAATATTGGTTACTATGTGTTCTCTATTTAATCAATATTGTTTGACGATACGTCAAAATTATTAAACTATGATACAACAATGATTATTTTTATACTTAATACAACTACATTTTAAGATCAATTTTACTGTGAAAATAAAAAATTAGATATTTTTCAGATTATTTTTAACAGTTCCAAAGCTCTCAAAAAAGATGAAATATACAATTTTTTAATAAACATTTTAGGAGAAGGATTATCTACAGCTCCCGGTTAGTGCAAAATAAATTACACTTAAAATGAATTAACATTAGTCAAGTTAAAAGTTGAACAATAATGTTTATGTTTATAATTAACTAGAATCTATTTATTTTTATTTTGTATTCTTCTAAAAGCTATATTATCCTCTTAATAAGAGGATAATATAAAGAATATANCTTCTAAAAGCTATATTATCCTCTTAATAAGAGGATAATATAAAGAATATAAAGAATAAAAATAAAGAATAAAAATTATTTATAAAGAATAAAAATAAAAATTTTATAAAGAACTCTAGATAAATTATATTGTATTTGATTAAATTTGTATTTAAACATGTTTTATTAATCATTTAAATTAACCTCAAATTTTCCATCATTGCTTTTAGTATACAAATGGAAACAGCATCGAAAAATAATTACTCCCATATTCAATACTTCTTTCATAAATCAACTTTTACCAATTTTTAATAAGAAAACATCAATCTTTATAAGAAATCTTCAAAAAGAACTAGGAAAAACTGAAACATTTGATATTTTTGATTATATAATTTCTAGTTCAGTTGATACTATATGTGGTAAGTGAGATAATAATTAGTAATAAAATATAGTCATTTTTAATATTTTATTTGTATTTATTTTAAGATTTTAGCTTCGATGCGAATCTGAGAAGGTATTAATTTTACTATGATGCATTTTTGGGGGGGGGGTCTGTTACCACTTTTTCTCAGGTCTCACCAAACCGATTTCATTAAACGATACATAAGATATATAAGATATACATGATATATAAGATCATAAACCGTATTTAATCGAAGACATTACCCTCAAAAATTGGAAAAAATTTCCCCTTCACCATAAATGGGGAAAATCTCCAAAAAAATTACAATTTATAAATCGGCAATTTTTGACATTTTTTCAACTTTTTTAACTTAAAACTGCCATAAATTTTTTAAAACTGAATGAGTAGAAACAATTTTTTTATAGACACATTAGGTGTTTCCTATAATTTGGTATATATATTTTTTGAAAATCTTACTCTTAACCTGCTCACTGAGGGGATTCAAAATCATAACTTTTCTACAATGAATTAAATTTTTCAACTTAACTTTTGAAATTCTTTCTTAAATATTGACACTTTAATATATATATATATCTAAAATTAAAGCCTATGTAATACACTTTAATTTGAAAAAAAAAATTTGACCTCTGGATTTGTCTTTATGATGAAAATGGTTACCGAATTGAAAAATATGCTATTATGGTGTTAAAATTCTTGGTATTGTATTTTAATTTCTATTAAAATACCATATGAGGGCAGTACATTGATTTTAATTAATATTATACCAATTTAATTGACATATAATATGAAGTTAAACTTATTTAAATTTGTTTGCTTCTTTAAAGTATAAAAAGGTAAGTTTAAAATATAAAATTCGCTTAAATTGTCAATTTTATTAACTGAATTAACACGAACGATTGCCGAAACGATAAAACTTGAGTCACTCACGCTTAGGATAAGAGGTAAGAATCCGCATGTGACAGTGAATTTTTTTGAATTCTTTCCTTAATTATTTTTGAGTTAGAAAAAACTTTTCAACTCATTTGGTTTTTATCTCATTAAGATTCAACAACTTTAATAAATATCAAGGATCCCATCACTGTAGTTACCCCTCTGTGAGAAAAAATTCTTTATTCCTATTAATATTATTTGAATATGGGATTTTTCTTGTGGCTGTCATTTATTTTCTCAGCCCTCACTGACCAATTTATTTTAACGATACATCAAAAGATCACAATTAGTATCGAGTTAAAGATATTGTCCTCAAAAATTGAAAAAAAATCCCCTTTATCAAATGAAAAGTTGCTAAACCAACTTTTTCCATACAGACAATTAATATCAATCATTTCTAATGTATTTATTGTCAAATGAGGTGTAATATAATAATAGAATTCAATTACAAAACTAAATAAATTTACTTTGTAATTTATTAATTGTTTAACTCTATTTGTGCGTGTTATTAATATTCTATAATATTCCAAATATTTTGGTAACATGTTGCTGTATAAATCATTTTTTTAAAAATTATTTTTAGTTTCCTTAAATTTAACATTGGATTTTTACAATTATAATCACATTTTATAATACACTCAATTGAGTAGATATGTTTAACAACTTTTAAGAACCAAAAAAAAAAAAAAA